ATCAGCTGGAATTGAAATTTCAGAGGAAATAATATTAAATGTGAAATGAAAGCGAGTTGAGAGACCTTCATCCATAAACAGTATTTTTAGACAGTGGTTGGAGTACTTAATAAAATGAAGGAAGAAATAAGAGATCCTGCAGTCAAGATGACAAAGTACAGACAAGGAGAACATAAGGACTGTCATAATCATATCAAACTGAAAAAAGAAAGAAGCTAATGAAAGCTATTGTTATCAATCTTCATATATTCTGAGGAAAATGAGATCAGTCTTTGGTTTAAATTTAGAATAGGTATTTTTTTCTGAAATTAATATTTGGAAAAGTGATTCTGCTGAAAATCAATAAATATCAGTAAAATTTGAATGGAAAATATCAACTTCAAAAAGAGACAGCTCATGAAAGACAGATAACAGACTTCACTGTACTGCAAGACTGTCGCACTTAAGAGGTTAACTGACAGAAGCAAAACCAGATCAACAGAGGGACTGAGAATCTGATAAAAGGCAGCATGGAATAGAAGAAAAAGTCAATCTTGAAAGTATAAAGCAATTACATTACATTTAACCAAAGAATGCTGAAGGGACAGAGGGTAAAGTAAAGAAGCAAGAGAAAAATATAACTGAATTAACCTTAGGAATAATTATCATTATTCCAAAAGGAAAGAAATGTAATGAAAATTGAAGAAATAATAATTAAAGGGTTTAACATAATAAAGAGAGAAGAGTGATTACATATGTAATCAAATCTTGAAACAATCTGAAGTTTACTTAGTAGTAGTAGAAGTGTTTTAAAAAATTATTCTGATTAACAATTTGCTTATATAAGTAAGTCAAAGCTAATTTTGAACAGAAAACCTACATCAGTTTTTACGGTAAAGTCATTCTACATTCCCTGATGGTCGTTGAATTTAATCTTTGTTCTACTCAGATCCTTGACTCATATTAAAATGTTTTATTTAATTCATTTGAGCTCAAATTCAGTCCCATCTATCTAAAAGTACTCAGAATGTTGATTCCATCAATTCTTCCTTTAGTCTTCTTTCATATCAAAAAAAGCTTTCTGATTATAAATCTGCCTTCTAAAAGTAACCACATAGAGTTTATTACTTTATTTTGTATGCATAATATGATGCCATTCAAAAACCTAGTAAAACCAAATTATTTCTTTCCATAACACAAACTCCTCATTGTCCATTGTCTAAACTCTGTGATACTCTTCCTAAGAAGTTGATGTAAGAAGAAAATTATGAGAAAGAGATGAAAAACAACCTTCTCCTGCCACTGTGCTTCACGTCCCGCAATTTTCCATCCACAAGTAGAATGCAAACAAGTTATTTTTAAGAGGGACCATTCTTGCAGACGGAGAAAGGAGGGGTGAATCTTGGCATGATCACTCTAGCATACATTTGAACAGTTTTGCTATTTCTGGGTTTCTGTTTCCTTCAGTAAGATCCAGTCTTCAGTACAAAAAAGACAGGGATCTCTTGGAAAGAGTCCAGCAGAGGGCCACAAAGATGGTGAAGGGCCTGGAGCATCTCTGCTACGAAGAAAGGCTGAGTGAACTGGGTCTGTTCAGCCTTGAGAAAAGAAGACTGAGAGGGGACCTGATCCAGGTCTATAAATATCTGAGGTGTGGGGGGCAGAATGGCGAGGCCAGACTGTTTTCAGTGGTGAGTGGAGACAGGACAAGGGGAAACGGCCGGAAACTGCAGCATAGGAAGTTCCGCACAAATGTGCACAAGAACTTCTTTACAGTGAGGTGACGGAGCACTGGAACAGGCTGCCCAGGGAGGTGGTGGAGTCTCCTTCTCTGGAGATGTTCAAGACCTGCCTGGATGCCTGCCTGTGCGACCTGGTGTAGGGAACCTGCTTTGGCAGGGGGTTGGACTCGATGATCTCTGGAGGTCCCTTCCAACCCCTACAATTCTGTGATCCTGTGATTCTGTGATACCTTCCTGGCTGCAATGAGGACTACTGTCAGTATCAGAGCAATGTGAGAAACACAGACTTGCTGTAGGACACACTGGACTGGAAGACTAAGCAGTATCAGAATACTCTTCCAAGGCTCTGTCACAGTGCCATAGTTTAAAATGTTCTTCAAGCATGCATAGTTGATTCAAACATATAGGGTGAAAGAGGAGGGGCAATTTTAAGAAGCCATATTTGCCAGAACTGGGCTGGAGACTAGAATATCACCTAATTTACATTTACTAGACCCATCCACCTTGACTTCAGCAAGGCTTTTGACATGTTTCCCAGAATAACTCCACTGATGAGCTTAGGAAGTCTGAGCTAGACAAGTGGACAGTGAGGTGGATTGAGAACTGGATGACTGGCAGAGTGCAAAGGATTGTGATCAGATATGCAGAGTCCAGCTGGTGTACTGTAATTAGTGGCGTTCCCCAGAGCTTAGTACTGGGTCCAATCTTGTTTAACATCTTATGAGGCTCAACAAAGGCAAGTGTGGAGATCTACATTTGGGGTTGCATTTGTACAGGTTAGAGGCTGATCTACTGGAAAGGAGTTCTGAAGAGCTCCTGGTGAACAACAGGTTGGCCATGAGGCAGCAGTATGTCCTTGTGGCCAAAGGTATCCTGGGTTGTTTTGGACCTGCTTCAAGGTTGTTTTTTTTCTTCCTTTTCTCAAAAACAACTTCTGCTGTAATTCCTGACATTAACATATTGCAGGTGATAAGGAGCCTTCATCTGTTCCAGTGTAGTCTGGATCAGCCCACGGCAAATGGCATGACTGAGTTTCCACCCCTGGGGCAGTCAATTCCAGGTGCTATGGACACCTCTCCAAGTAAAAGCAATCTCTGCCCGCATTCTGCTCCCAGAAGGATTGAGAAAAAAGTATTAGTTATGACCGTTGTGGCATACCACTTGGCTAGTTCATACTGACACTAGTTCATACTGAATTTCTAATATGTCTGGCACAGCAGTGCTTAGCAGTGGTGTGGCTTCATTCAGGCCACGATAGTTCACTGTTAGCCTTCACTCTCCACTGGACTTTTGCATTGGACCTATAGGACTACTGAAGGGTGAGAGAGTCTTATTGATTACTCCATGGTTGTCCAGTTGATGAATTAACTGATGAATGGGAACCAGGGAGTCCTGATTGGTGCACCACTGTAGTGGAGATCTGCATCTGCTGTTCATCTTCTCGTAGCAGTCCCAAAACAGAAGGGTCCTCTGAGAGACCAGGCAAGATAGATAGCAACTTAATGTCCTCCATCTCAAAGACTGCTATACTGAAAGCCCATCGATACCTTTTTGGGTCCTTGAAGTACTCTCTCCTGAGATCTCCTGAGAGTCTCTTGGCCAGTTAAAATGGGGTACATTTGCCATTCATTTCAGTTACACTTCCTTTGGCCTCCAATACAGTTAACTCTTGGGATCTCCCTGGCACTGAAGAAATACAGATGGGTTTTTCCCCTTTATAACTTGATAGCACTGGAGTACACTGTGCAGCATGTCCACTAGAGCCTCTTATTTCTCTGGTTCTGATGTGCAAGGCCATCAAATCCACACAGATTGGTTCATTTAACCTGTCTGAAGAACTACCCTCTGTAAATCAGAACTGCCTTTTTCCTGGAAGAACTCTCTCTTGTGGTAGTTTGCCCTTGCAGCTCATGTACCTATGCCTGTAGGGCTGAGATGGGTTTTTCACCCCATTTCCTCATTTCCTCTCCATGGTCATGCAGGTAAAACCACAGGATGGCACTCACTACATCCTCTCTATCAAGAAGAGGAACATTTACTTCTAAATGATAGCATTCTCATTTGAACAGATGTAGGAGCCATTGAACCAGTTTCTTTTTCTTTGAGTGTCTGAACCAGTTTCTTTACAGGCCTGCAGGGAGGAAGAGAGACTATCTTCACATTGTCAAAGTAGGCTAGTCATTTTATCCACTGTTGGTCTTTTTTATCCTTCCAGTTTATTCCTGTCAGGGTGCTGGCACAACAAAATGGTGCACTCTGTACCATTCTCCACCACACAGGTCATGCACATAACAGTGTCATCTGGATCTTGGGAGTTTGTATTATTGTTCAAGTTAATTCCATATATCATCATTACTGCATCTAGCTCCCTTAAGCACCAGTACTTTTCTCCATGGTGGTTCATTTCCCTGGATTACATGCGAGGTCTTCCTTGAAGGGATGTCTTTCCATCAGGGCGTCTTTCCTCAGACATGAGGCACTGCCACAGGATGAAAGGCTGTGACCCTTTTCGAGTTGCTTTGTCAATCCCACTTTCACAAGAAGGAGATCTGAACCTGCTTGGCTTCATTGCCTGCTAAGTCCAGGCTACTGCTTACACCGACTCAGCAGGGGTGACAGAGCGCATGTCTAGATGACAGCCATAATCTTTTCACAAAACTTGCACCTCACTAAACATTAGGAGTAACATGGTTTCTGTCTCTTTCTCCTCCTCCTGTTTTTGCAATGGCCCCAGACATTCTGAAGAAAAACAATTCTTAGTTGAAACTATGACAAGAACTCAACAGATATCTTGCAGAAATGTTTTAACATGATGACTGGTTTTGTAAATCCTACAAATTTCAAATAGTATTTCCTTCCCGTTTCTCCACTTATAAACTTATTATCTGACATAGCACAGCCCTCCCCGCCAACTGGTTACGAGCTACCATTTTTCACTATGAGGTGCCTTCTGCCTGCCCCAGCACACCTGGGGGCACACACTGACACCACATACATGCTAAACACCCTCCTTGTACCGTATAGGCTCTCCATAATTCACTGTCAATTTCTTCCATTCTCAACTCATGTAATCCTTAAAAAAAAAAAAACCTTCCCAACACTTACATTTCCAAACACATTTTTTAAACTAGTTCCTGCAGATTAAGTCTCACGTGAAGAAATTGTATTTTGATGAAATAACTACAGTAATTACTCAGGCAAAGATTACGTGTATAGCTAAAAACAGGACCATATCATACCAGGTGGAAATACACAATGTGGTATGTAAAGACAGCTTACCTGTCAAATAGTTCTCCACCTGTGACCAATTCCAGAACAAGGCTGATATCTGTAGGGGTCTCAAATATCTCCTTCAGTTTTATCTGGTAAAAGACAACAAAAATAATAGAATCATAGGATTCATTCTTCATGTTTTTCTTCTTGTAGAGCATATCACAGTGCCAGCAGCAAGACACAGACCACAGCTAGTAATGTAGAGGATACCAGCTAAAGTTGGTGTCTCATTTACCTTGCAGTCAAGCAGATTACTGTAAACATTCTCCCAACCTTGTTGGTTTTTGATTTGCTTTGAATTTTTTTTTCCTTTTATTCATTTATTTATTTACTTATTGGCTATATTTATCCCTTTTGCATTCCTTTTCTTTTTATTGTAGTCCTCACACTTCCATAATCTCTGTGGAAAACAGCAGTTTTAGAACCTGCTTTCTTTAGTGTTCTTAACATCCCTCTGTCACTCTACAGTTGCTGAATTCCCACTGAAGATGGACAAAGCCAAATTCCTCTTATCCTTTACAGAATTACAGAACTCCTTTTGCACAGTTTCTCACTCAATTCCATGAGAACAACAATGTAAAGTATAATTCAATGGTCTTTCATAATGAATTGTTAATGAAGACATGAGGAGAAATCAAAGTTCTAACTAAGATTCCTGCAAGTCAACATAAATGAATAAACCTAGTTAATGTGGAGCTCAGAAAAATTATTATTATTATTATTACTATTATTATTATTATTATTATTATTTTAAGACATGGAGTGAAATGTGACTGAACTTACAATGTTAGGATGTGAGAGGCGAAGAAGAACTCCAATTTCCGTACGAACAATTTTCTTGTCTATCTGGTTAAAAGCAGGGGGAAAAATAGGTAAGTAATTCATTATTTTGTTAAGCACGGGTAAGTTTATCATAGGAAACTAAGTATGAACAGCAATTCTAGTCTCTTGCGAGATAACAACGAGGTGACATATATAATTCAAGTATACTGTGTGGAAGAGTCTTCCTTCATCACAAGACAGATGGTGTAACAGTAAAAAAGATCAGCATCTAGCAAAATGATCAAAAACAAATCGTGTAGAAGTAGACAATAGGGAAAGACATCCAAGTAAACTCCTAACATTTCTATTTTTATTAAGTCTCTGTTCTTGTCACCACTACTTAGGATGGCCACTCTGGTCACACACTTTTTGGCACACTCTGGTCACCAGTTGTACTTACAGTTTTCTGCAGGTAAGATGAGCGCACCAAAGCAGAGTAACAAGCTGCTTAGTACAAAAAAGCAACACAAAAGTTAAACAACCCTGAGCCACAGCAGTGCATAAGGTTTGGCTTCAGCTTGCTTCAGACATACCTGACAGATGAGTCTAGTTCTGCACAGACTCTCTCTGATTAAGCTATGAGAAGATTAGCTCTTCCCTTCTCAAATTGCTAGGTTTAACAATCCAGGCATGACCTACGCTCTCTTGGAGTAAATTGATCATTTCTCACAAAAAAGACAGACCTGGGCAGTATTTCATTCAGGAAAGACAACTGCCGCTCTTCCTGAACTTGATCACTTAAGCAAGCAAGAAAAACGCTTGTAAGAAACCACGCATGCTTTTTATGTTGCTAAGGCAATCAATCAAAACTCTTATGAAGAAACTACCATGGTTGCAGACATACTGACAAACACAAGATAAATTCTACACTGATGAAAATAAACATTTCTCTTCTACTCCACTCTTCATCTTGGGGGTTATGAGAGTCAGCAAGTTAAGTCACTGGCATTTTCCAAATTGGTAAAATAAATAACATGAAATAGAAAATTTTTCTTCCTTTTTAGTGGAGACATTCCATCAAACATTTCTAGGTTTTGTTGTAGGGTTGTTGGGGTTTTGTTTTGTTTTTTTTTTTTTTTTTTTTTGTAACATTAAATTCGAAATTATATGATACTATTTTAATCATTCAAAGTAGTATAAAATTACCTTCAAATTCTTAATGAAGAAGTCACTTGCTTACAAAAAGATCTCTTTTTTAACATCTGAAAAATGGGGAGTGCTTCTCGGTATTTTATTCTTCTCAGCAACATCAAAACCAGCTATTAGTGATGCTCTGAAGTACAGGGCAGGCAGCATTTGATTCTCCCTGAACACGTGCAAGCCAGGAATGATGCCAGATGCTGCAGTGGTGTGGCAGTGGTGTAAAAGAGTATAGAGCAAGAGCCCTCAGGATCTATTGAAAGTTGTTGACATTTACCTGCTTTTAGCAGCTCTGATAGGGAGCAAAATAAAAGACACAAAAATCAACGTTCAGTACGTTAAGAGCATCAGATAAGCAGCAGAAAACAAAAATTAAAGAGGAACAAAACGCTCCATTCCCCTAATACCTAATGGGAGATAAGAGTGGTGCTTATATCTTTGCTGGGATCTAATAAAATGCTGTGGCTGCATATGCTGAGGAGTTCCTTCTTGGGCCCAGGATGCCTGTGGGTCAGCATGACTCCTCACCCCTGGATTACCCACACAGCACAAAGTCATACTGCCTCGCTCCAATTATAGGAGGGAGAGAAGGTTCATTAATATATGTGTACTAGATGGCCAGATTAAGACACAACAGGTCAAATATTAGTCCAATTTTAGTACCAATTCTAGTTGCTCAGGGAGATGGGGAAGGGAAGATGGGTGATAAAAAAGGGAGAGGAAATAAAAGCAAGAAGTCTTTGCAGAAAGCAAGAGAGAGATGATCTAGGTTCCTGCCATTCCCCGCAGTTCAGATGTTTATCTTCAGAAGTGAAGGGTTGTTGGAGGTTGTGTTGTTCAGTTGATCACTACTGACATTGACAGTACAAACTTATTTATAAGTCCGAACCGGTCTAGTCAGCTCTTTTTGGAATGACAGCATGAACTCCTTTGTTCCCATCTTCCAGGCCTTGCAAATTCAAGCAAGCGTATAAGAGGGAGCAGGGAGGCACCAGCTTGCTTCTCCATCTTCCCAGGATACAACAGTATCATGCCTCAGTCTCCCATACCAAGCTGGAGTTACTTGGTCAGAGGACAGGTCTTCAGCCAGTAAACGCCCCTGGTCATTTCCTTTTGAAGGCAAACATCTTCAAAGAAATGCTTTCAAATGTAAAACTGTCCACAAAGTGACGTCGATTGCCGTACAGCGACACCCACCACTGAACTTCAAGATAAGTCTTGTGGTGAGAAATGCCTCAGAGAGTGAGATTTGAGCCAAGAAAAAAGAAGAGTTCAGACACACGGCCAGCAGCTCCGGTGATTCTGGCAGTAACACACACCTGGGATCTTTTCGTGGACTTCACACCCCAGATCAAATCAGAAAAGTTAACATGCATGACCACAGGCACAGCTGCTGCTTAGAATGAGCAATTCATCCACTCAAAAAGAGCCCATACAAGCTGAACAATCTGCAGTTTATTTTCTCCAGTTCTGAAAATGTTTGCTCATCATGAATGCCTGGCAGGAGGCATGTAAAAGCCTGTCCAAATCAGAAGGATGTTTCCTTTGGCACTAAGTAGGCAGTACTGACAAATGACAAAGGCTCCTTCTGAAGTTGTTGGCAGCAGTAAATTAAGTGAAGCGACTTGAGTCTCAGTTTCAGGTAAGGAAGTCCTCTACAATCCAATGATCCAGATCCCAATCTGACACACATTTTTTTCTTTAAGCTTCCTCATATAGTAGTATGAGAAAAAGGTACCCCAAAATTTGAGATACTGAGTTGGAATAGCAAATAGGTCACATATAAATGCTTAGGAGTGCTAAACATTTAGAAGCATCCTAGAAAATGCCTAAAGGAATATATTTTACAACAGAAGGACGCATGTGTAAATTATATGAATAGTTTCAGAGTAAAAACAGCAGCATATATAGCCACAACATTTTAGTAAGAAGAGACTGTTTTTTGACTGACAGCAGCAAAGATTTACCAACCTGAATTTGGGAGAAAGATGCAGTCCAAGAGCCCTGGGCACTACACTGAAATGCGTGTCTTCTCTATAGTCTGTGTTGTGGCTTTGCTGTGACACCTGAGATTCCCAGAAAAATGGTAGCATGTTGCATGCACTCAAAACTGAACTCTTAAGTCCAGTTTATTGAGAAACAGACAGAGGGCTAACAGTATTAACAGTTACAGTAACAGCATTATTTCACTCAAAGCAAAGATCCAGAGAGTCAGGACAATATCTGCCAGTGTGGGTCAGTGAAATTATCCCTTCAAACCCTTACTTTACATTGAACATTGACATTAAAAATATTCCTGGATTTGCTAGTATTTTCTCTCCATTCTTTTCCCCCACTTTTCTAGAACTAGGTATTTATGTGTTTTTACAATTATGTGTCTAAAAGCACTGGATCTTAAAAACTGGATCCTCGTTACTGACTGAATAGAGCTAGGTCTGATTCTTAATGGTCTTACCCTAGTTCTCATCCTTAATCAAAGCTGAGATCCTTCCATGTTTCCATGACACGAGGTAGAGTGACACTACAAATCCCTGAGATACGAAAGTGTTGATTCTATCTGAATTAAATCAGACACAAGATAAAACGAACTGTCACTGTAAAGAGGTTAGTTTAGTTGCTGCCTTGCAGTAAAGTACTTTATCCTGAAAACACAGGTGGCCAGCAGTTGCAAAGGCCCCTTAGACTTAGTAGAGAGCAAGAAGCAGAGCATGTTCCTCATCCTACAAGCCTGTTCTTTGCTGTCCTCCTTCCCTAAGACCATGAAGATATGGAGGTGTACATCTAGCCAGCTGTGGTCACCAGGGTGCCCATGCAAGTAACAAAACAGCAAATGCATACGGCTTTTCAGAAGCTTCACAGCGCAGTCTACCTCATGGATGCTGTTTTCCTCAGCTCTGCACAGCTTCTTATTTAATATCTCTTTTATTGACTCATATTAACACCTCTAACTCATCAGTGGCAAATGAATGCTTTACTGAACCAACAGCTCAGGCTCTGAGCAGGTGTTTCCTTGCACTTACAAGGAGCATGCTGCAAATCATGATTGGCTTGCCATTACACTCTGCTACATGCGTTTCTAAGAAACAATTTATATGTCCATCTCAGTTAAAAGAATTCCTATACTCAGACTTTATGGTGTTAATTGATAACTACTCTTCTTAACTACATCATTGTTTTTTGTTTGTTTGGTTTTTTCATTTAAAAATGTACACAAATACAACTATTCACCAGCAGAGATGCACAGCCACTGGTAGTCTGAAAGTGTGTTTCCAACTGTGACAAGTATGCAAAGGGCTGCTAGGTTACTTTTGAAAGCTTTCAAACATAATGCATGAATGTTTCTTTCTCTTCTGGAGAAAAACTTTAAAATACACACTTCCTAGTCAGTTGTAGGCTTTATTTTTTAATTTCACCGTGTTCCAAACAATGGGAATTACAAGATGAACCTTTTGAACAAAAGGATACTAAGGATACTTCTTTGTTCTAATTAGAGTAATTATTTAACACCTATTTTAAGTAATTTGATTCTTTGTGAAACTTTTTTTTGAACGAAAATAGGAGTTCTTGAAATAAAGAATTTGTCTTATGTTTTAGGGGCAGTTCTTGCCGGGTCATTGATTGACCTTCTCAGCAGCTTCTTAGCAGCTCTCTCTTTGAAAGGGAGAAACGTTTGTACTTGGACTAATATTACACTTAAAAAAAAAAAAAAAAAAAAAAAAAAATTATTAAAAATAATATTTTCTGTATTTTAAGCTTAGCAGACTATTCTGGCTCTGTCCCTACTGAAGCTGAACACAGGGCCCCTGAAGAACACATCAAACAATGCAATAAAGCACAGCAGTAATTGCACAGTGCTGCAGTATCTTCTATAAAGTCAGCAAGGA